TTCCTGTAAAGTTTCATGACTCTATGTCAAATACTTTTTGAGTTACATGCGACACAAGTTGAAAATTGCAAAATTTTACTAAGTTGAGGGCAATAACTCTAAAAATACTAAAAATATCCAGACGAAAATAGCCAGTTGCACAACTACACATGCTGATCAACATTCCTGTAAAGTTTCATGACTCTAGGTCAAATACTTTTTGAGTTACATGCGTCACAAGTTGAAACTTGCAAAATTTTACTAAGTCAAGGGCAATAACTCTAAAATACTAAAATTATCCAGACGAAAATAGCCAGGTGCACAACTACACATGCTGATCAACATTCCTGTAAAGTTTCATGACTCTATGTCAAATACTTTTTGAGTTACGTGCGACACAAGTTGAAAATTGCAAAATTTTACTAAGTCAAGGGCAATAACTCTGAAAATACTAAAAATATCCAGACGAAAATACCCAGGTGCACAACTACACATGCTGATCAACATTCCTGTAAAGTTTCATGACTCTATGTCAAATACTTTTTGAGTTACATGCGACACAAGTTGAAAATTGCAAAATTTTACTAAGTTGAGGGCAATAACTCTAAAAATACTAAAAATATCCAGACGAAAATAGCCAGTTGCACAACTACACATGCTGATCAACATTCCTGTAAAGTTTCATGACTCTAGGTCAAATACTTTTTGAGTTACATGCGTCACAAGTTGAAACTTGCAAAATTTTACTAAGTCAAGGGCAATAACTCTAAAATACTAAAAATATCCAGACGAAAATAGCCAGGTGCACAACTACACATGCTGATCAACATTCCTGTAAAGTTTCATGGCTATGTCAAATACTTTTTGAGTTACGTGCGACACAAGTTGAAAATTGCAAAATTTTACTAAGTCAAGGGCAAACAACTCTGAAAATACTAAAAATATCCAGACGAAAATACCCAGGTGCACAACTACACATGCTGATCAACATTCATGTAAAGTTTCATGACTCTAGGTCAAATACTTTTTGAGTTACATGCGACACAAAAGAGAACGGACGGAAGGACGGACGGATGGACGGACGGACAGACGGACAAGGGTAAATCTAAATGCCCGCCATTAAAGTGGGGGCACAATTATATCAAATATAATTTTCATGGATAAATCAGTAATCCACTCAAAATCATAAAAAAAACATTCTTATTTTGTTCATAGCACGCATTATCATTTGAAATAAGAAAAGGTTCGTATATTTCATCTAACAGTTAAGTAAAAACAAAACTTTAACACAATAGTTTTCTGGCAAGTAATAATCATTTTCTTTGTAGAATCAATACATCAGAAACATTTTCAAACAAAGCTATCATAAAAATAATGTCTTCAATTTCACACGATTAAGACACACCCTTTATAGATTCTTTTGAATGGAGCACCAAAGGGTAAGCTACTCGTTGTTGTTGCCGATGATCATTATCCTATGCTTTTCACCGAAAAATGCTCTTAAATTTGATAGATATGTATCCGTGGTAACCATTACTTTTGAGGCCGATAATAAACACAAGAGAACATGATATAAAAGTTCCATTACAATAGCAATATTGCAACAGTTTTCTGTCTGGCTGTCCGTTTATCGTATGTCTCTGTTTGTCGACCTAGCCTTCTGTTTTCCTGTCTGTCTGTCTGTCTGTCTGCAAAAATGGTATGCTTTTGTTAAATATCATTCTAAGATAGGCTTGTAAGACGGAAGAGCATTAGTGCCAGGTGTATGTTTTCTATTAACTCGAAATTTCGAGTTACTAACTCGAAATTTCGACTTACTAACTCGAAATTTCGAGTTACTTATCTCGAAATTTCGAGTTACTAACTCGAAATTTCGAGTTACTAACTCGAAATTTCGAGTTACTTATCTCGAAATTTCGAGTTACTAACTCGAAATTTCGACTTACTAACTCGAAATTTCGACTTACTAACTCGAAATTTCGACTTACTAACTCGAAATTTCGAGTTACTTAACTCGAGATTTCGACTTATTAACTCGAAATTTCGACTTACATTGCACGACTTTCATTGGTTGCCGGTGAAAGCAAGGATTGAATTCAAGATACTTTCTTTCGTGTGTAGCTGTTGCACATTGACAGAGCACCTTTAACATTTATTTAACAGAACAATTTTATAGGGTCAAATTGTCCACACATACTGAACATATCCTTCGCTTTTTTGTGGAGGGGGGGGGGTGTAAAATCACACTTTCCACATTTCTGTGTTAACCGGGTGTTTCTTTTTCTTAAGCACACATACAACCATCATGTGGAGAAACAACAAGTCCAAAACCCACCCTGTTGTAAACTGTGCAATATCATGTGTTAAATAAGTTTTAATTGGCGTGTATACGCCAGTTAGTCTGTCACGTTTTCTTTATACTAATAATGTTTTGTAACATTATTCATTATTTACTAATACTTTTGATATTGTGTTGATAAAAGTTGATAAAAGTGATACTTGTTGTTATATATATTGTTGGGAATAATATAAAAGCATCCGATTTTACAAGAAATATAGTCAGTCAACAATTTTGACAAAGGCCTCAGCACGCCCTATTTTGGCCACGCCGCGATACTTTCCTCAGATGTCCCACACGTGAAGTATAGGATCGGTTTTTTTACAGGGATGAGAAGAATATGATTAGTGAAAAGATATGTTCGAACAGATTGGATACAATACAACGTCTGAAGAACGCCTGAACGTACAAATTAAAGGAAGCCTTGTTTTTTAGGTCCGGTGTGTACATGCCATTACTAAGTTTAAGTTAAATTTCAATAGTTTTTGTCCAGGCACCCGTTTCTCCATCTCCATCGTTCAAAGGCACTGCCTACTATATCTTATACCATCTAACTAATAACTTTGGCCATTCTTGTAATGTTAATAAGTCGAAATTTCGAGTTACTAAGTCGAAATTTCGAGATAAGTAACTCGAAATTTCGAGTTAGTAAGTCGAAATTTCGAGTTACTATGTCGAAATTTCGAGTTAGTAAGTCGAAATTTCGAGTTAGTAAGTCGAAATTTCGAGATAAGTAACTCGAAATTTCGAGTTAGTAAGTCGAAATTTCGAGTTAGTAACTCGAAATTTCGAGTTAGTAAGTCGAAATTTCGAGATTAGTAACTCGAAATTTCGAGTTAGTAAGTCGAAATTTCGAGTTAGTAAGTCGAAATTTCGAGATAAGTAACTCAAAATTTCGAGTTAGTAAGTCGAAATTTCGAGTTACTAACTCGAAATTTCGAGTTAGTAACTCGAAATTTCGAGATAAGTAAGTCGAAATTTCGAGTTACTAACTCGAAATTTCGAGTTAATAAAAAACATACACCTGGCACTAATGCTCTTCCGTATGTAAGATATAGAGGATATTTGTTTGTTTCTGTGTAAGATGAAATTTTATTTCATCGAGTGGGCTTTAAAAAAAGTATTCTCACGAGTGGCACACCACGAGTGAGAATACTGTTTTTAAAGTTCACGAGATGAAATAAAATTACATCTTACACAACAAACAAACAAATTTTCTTTTTATTTTATGCTTAAAAACAATTTAAAACGAAATTTCCACAATATTAACGTTATTATCGAAATCTGTTTTCACGGTGAAATTATCAAATATAATTTTCACGGATAAATCAGTAATCCACTGAAAAGCATAAAATAAAAATTGTCTAATTGGGTTTATTTTGTCTGTTGTCAGTCCTGACTTAAATCTTAAAAAAACAACACAATCGCTATAAACGATATTCTTAGAAACTTATCAAAATCTTGGACATAAACGAGAAGATAACTCCAACTGCTTCTGGATAAACCAGTCAAATCAGTATCAATCAGTATCAGATCAATATCTCGAGAAAACATCTGTTTAAAAAGACAAATTCTAACACTATTGGAATTTTTTCTATGCCCGAAGCGTGCGTTATTCTACAACAATGCACTCGCCGTTCTTATCATCTCACATTGAGGGCGCCATTTTGTTTGAAAAATCTGATAAATAAAAAACATTTTTTTGTCGAATTTTGTTGTGAAAACTATCTAGAATGAAAGAAAATGGTCTAACTAAGAAAATGAATTCGAACACCAATATCTTTAATTCAGTCGTTAACGCTGCACAGACGTTTAAAGTGTTGTTTATGTGACGCCACAATGTAGCGCCAAACAGCACGTGCAAAACAATCAAATCAAGTACGCTATTTTAATGTCGCAAACAAGTTAAGTTTTAAATTTATTTCACGTTTAATAGTTTGTATTTCGCTTAAAAATTAAAGAGTGAAATAAAATAAACAAACAAAGTTTTATCAAGGTTTTCAAAATTCGTTATTCTCAAAATGTTGTTACACACGGTAAATTTAACGACAGTTTTTTCAACCCACTGGAACAGCCTTTAAAGAACGTTTCTATTGGAAACTCTGAGGCGAAAACAAATTTAACCACCAAACATAAAGTCCAACTTTATAATATTAATTATATTTTTATCTTGACCTGTTAGAATGGAAATAGATATTAATTCTTCGTGCATTATTGTATAATAATGCACGTTTTTCGTTCAAATGCTTTGTAATTAATCACTCAGCCCTATCGGCCTTCGTGGTTATATTACTATGCATTTGAACTCAAACCGTGAATTATTCTACAACAATGCACTCAGAACTGATATTTATTTCCTAAATAGAAGCCCTGTTCGATATCTTACCGAGACGGGTGTGAGAAAACAACACGAGTAATGATGTTTCTATAGGCAATTCAGATTCCGTTGCTATCCGTTATATCATCATTTTGAACACAAGATCTTTTTTCGATGATGCGCATGCTTTCCCTTATTTTTGACGTGCAACTCCTCTTTGTTACTCTATACGAAAAGACTCTTTTACTGTATGAAAGTGCATTACAATGGTTGGAATATTAGACTTACATGTAATCCTCATATACCTCAACATTTAAATAAAGACATATAACCGCATGAAAAGAGCATTTTTCAATATGTACTAACTTGTTTGACGCAGCCGAAAACTGTCTCTCAGATCAGTCTTATTCCTGATAGGATTCATTTTGACAAATTTGGTATTATTTGTTGCTGTCATTGCCAATTCTATAGATTGATTTATTGACGCAGACCGGTCATCAATAGTATCCACAATCACCCCTGGAAAATAAGAGGTTACAGGTAACACTATTTAAAAAATTACGATCGTGTGTGCGATCACATGTGCGGGCGCGATAAAAATATAATTGTAAAGTTTACATAAATAACCGGTATCTCCTCATACATTTTTGTAGCACTGAAATGTTTTATGTGAATAATTATCAAATAATATTGTCACATATTCAAAAGAATCGTACAAAGATATAACAATTGTTACTTTTGCCATACTTAAACTCTCTAACAAACTTGTACTTAATCAGTTAACATGTGTATTCATCGCTTAATTGATATATTGCCCGATTTCATTATTTTCTTAATTTATTAATGCTGACTGTTAAACACTGTATGTACAATAAATGAAAAAAGTTTCAAATAATTATATATATATTGTCTAGGAAGTAAGTTAAGAATACACAATTAAATATAGGACATAGAAAAAGTACAGATGTAAGTAAACAAATTAACTTTCTTAAAAAATTCAAAGTCAACAGGCAAACCCTCTATATTGCATAGATAAATGAAATATGAATATACAATTTATTACCTATTGTAACCGTGTTGGAGGTTTTTCCACAAATTGGAGTGATATAATATGTTATTCCGAAAAACACAAATATATAAAATATCCATATTACACGGCATCGTGTCAGGGTTTATACATCCATCAACTAGTTTTAAAATGACTTCCTATCATAACTGACACTTAAATTGAACGCTTCTTCCATTTTCCTCACATGTATAGCTGCCGTAATATTGCCAGTGTTTCTCCGACTGTCAAAGCAGCTGTCTTTCTTCACGTCACGATCTCATTTATTGTTGAAGCGGGAATAGCGAATTGAGACTTTTGTCGCATGTACACAAGGCTGATATTTGAGGTGCTGTGAAACTAATTACTCCGTCTAGTACAGAGATATTCATCCTATAGAATCCATTCTTGTTTGTATCAATTACAACACCAATATGAAATTGCTTCCTGTAGGCTTTCTAGGAGACATCATTCTGTACAAGAAAATAGTCTTGAGTTTAACTACTTGGTATTTAATGAAAAATCGAAGCAGAAAAGACTTTATTAAAAACAGATTAAAAAACAGTGCCTATCTAATAGAGATAAGACAGGATTTATTTAAGGTTTAAATAATTTCAAGAAAACGATTTTACAACTTTGGACGACATATATAAATTAAACATGTCTATCCATTTTCTGAAAGATTACATGTGAACGAGAGCATAAAAAAGCGGGGCAATGTACGCCCGAATGTAAATTTGTTTGAGTAAGAATAGTATTTCAGATAGATAGATACCAAATTTGTCTTTGTAATTATACTTATGATGTATATGACTTTCATGGTGGGGTGGGGACACTTTATCCTAGGTGCATGATTAATAAAACTTAAGGGGTCTACTAGGCAATGCTATATGACAACTACATGTAATAAAGACATAGTAGTTATCCACAAAGAGATGTGTTTGCCTATACCTTAGTCTACCTAAAAGCAAGTGACTCCCGGGGCAGGGCCAAGTTAATTAATCTATATATTGATGCTACATGCCAAATATCTAAGCTCTGGGCTTTGTAGTTTCACACAATAATATTTAAATGTGTTTTCCAATATAAGTGTATATAAATCAAGTGATCCAAGGGGCATGATTCATATCAGTTTTGCAGGGGTTCACAAGGTAATGCTACAAGCTAAATATCTTACCTCATGGCATTGTAGTTTCACACAATACGATATGTTTTTTTCTAAAGATGTCTATATAAATTAAGTGACTCCCGGGCGGGCAATTTATTGACCCAAGGGATAAATATGATTAATATCAACATCAATTTTGTGGAGGCTCATAAGAAAATGCTACATGCCTAATATTTAAGCGCGTGTTGTTGCGATATCACATTGTCGTTCGGTTCAAATCGTAGGATTGGCTTATAAACCAAGCGACAGGGCGACATCGCGACAACGTGCCGCACGACAACGTGCCGTATAGCGTGCTTCGCTAGAGACAGGACGACGACAACAGCGCGACATGGCGCTGTTTGGCGCTTTGTCCTGTTGTCGCTAGCGACAAGACGAAAAAGCAATAACGATATAGGTTGCGTTGTCGCTATCGACGCGCAATGTACCAAATCAGCCACCACAGCTTTGTAAAGGTCAATTAGGCAATGCCAAAAATTGAGAATTTCTTTCTATCAGTTAGAGCGGACCCGAAATTTTGAAATTTATACAAAAATTGTGAATTTGACGTGATGCGAATTTGCACATTGTCTCATGGTTAATATTTCTGCAAAGTAGTACCGGTTCAATAGTTACAGACTTGAAACGAATTTCTGAACTTAAGTTGAAATATGACGCATATGTTTTGTTTTCCAAGCATACAACACAATTCAAGTTTATTAATTTCGTAAGAATGATTTTAGTCTTTATTGTATTAATTGTTCTATACGAAAACCTGAAACGGTGCTTTCACTAGACCACTGAAACCGCTGTAATGAAGTGCAACCAAACAATATTTTTTTCAGGTTCCAGAGGATGAGTTTTAAAATACGCTATTTGGTGGAAACTCTAATATATACAGTAAATATAATCAGGGTGATCAATCCACTTAACTTGGGTATTGTAGTCACAAATATAACGGGTATTTCACAAAAAATACAGATTTTAAAAACTTTTGATCAAGTTTTTGCACTTTCTTTGATGATTCGGATTAAACAGCAGGGAATAAATCTTTGTGAACATCAAATATTCTATTGAACAGCCGGCTAGTCACTTCTCAGAGGTCATGTCGTGTGTAAAATTTATGTTTTTGTGTGTATAATTTAACAATGACAACATTATATTTATGCAATTTTATTTTCACATGCAATTTAACAATGACAACATTATATTTATGCAATTTTATTTTCACATGTAATTTAACAATGACAACATTATATTTATGCAATTTTATTTTCACAAATGTGAGCAATTGTTTTTAGATATTTATGACTATGAAATCGGCGATGGAATTCATTTTCATTTCTTTGGTAAGTACCATGTACGCACCAAATTTATCAGAATATGGATAAACTGATACTCCGAACATACATTTTTTTCAAATTAAAAAATCGGTGTTGATTATTTTAATAAATTTGAACAATGTTGGTCACTAGACCATACTTCATGTAAAATGTTTTTGGATACATTGCTTGCAATGTATACAGAGTTATAGCTGCATTTCTGCAGGCAATAGGGTAAACGCCTTTGCTGAACAACATGCACTTCCGGATAAAACCTCGATAAAATGTAGGTTATTGTTACATTAAGATAACTCATCATTTAAATATTGTTTGCAAAGTTGTATAAAGGTTTTGAAAGCTCGAAACTATGCATTTTCAGTTTGAAGAAAAATTTCTAAACATAAAAGCAAAACATATGAAAATGAATAGTTTATTGATAAAAGCATTGCGTATTTCTACGCATCAAACTTCGTATCCACGCATGCGCGTGCAAGCATGAATGAATTACAATTAGACATCGTAAATATAGAAAAGTTGTCACACTCTGTATGAAAATATGTGCAAACATCCAAAATAGATATTTAATCAAGTCAGTTGACCTTATATACACTTGCATATGTTTTTCTTTTTTTAAACTGTTTTAAGAAACGAGCAACAAGCTCCAACCCCGAATATATATGGAGCTCCGTAACAGAAATCTAGGTCACATTTCGACACTGATATTCCCGATATAAAATCAAACCACAGAAGGCGCTGAATTTGTTTGTGTCTTAGAATGACAGAAAGGTGAAGGTTGTGAGAATATAAACCAATTTGTTTGTAAAGTGTCACCAAATTCTGTTTCCATTCCATTGTTATAACTATAGTAAATTGACTATAAGACTAATTGCAGCACTGATAATTAATTCAATGCTTATTTGGCTTAATAAAAAAAAACAAAAAAAAAAAAAAACATGACTTGTCTGAACTGGGATTTGAACTCCTGACCTCTGGCGAGCGTGTAAACCCCATGACCACGGGGAGTTATAAGATAACGGCCTGAAGAATACCATATTATTCTTAATTAGAGTTTGTAAACCTTATTAATTTCGATATATTTTGTTCAAGGTAAACCTGTTGTTTAACACTGAAGTAAATAATCAAGGAGCTGAATATAAGCATGTATATCTATAAGAATAACACAGAATTAGAAATCTCCAACAAATCGGGAACTATTTTTTCGTTACGAAACTTAATGCGCATGTCCAATCGCAACTACTCGGCCCTTTCCGTCAATCTTCGGATATAGATAATAGCCGAGGCAGTTCCGAATGGCGCATGTCATTTGACAATCTTTACGCAGTGATCTCCCCTTAATTTTTCGGCGTTAATGTACATATGAAGGGAAGTTATCGAGGAGTTTGAACTACTTTCGGCATTTGCAAATAAGAACATCAGGGTCTGAAATTTCGCTACCATTATTTGTTTGGTCTGACGACCCAAACAAATAAAAATCAATATGAAAATAATCAAACACAGCACCTCTATCTAAAATGAAAACCGTGCCTCGGGGCAATGATTGTTATCTGTCCATACTGCATTATCCTAAATTATAGCGGATTAAAAGTTGTGTTGCTAATTGACAGAAAGGTGACGTAATAAACAGTTCTATCACTCACATATTTAACTTAACACTTGTCGTGCGTCAGTTTTTAAAATCGTTGATGTAAAAATGTGGATTTGATTAACGGAAAGATTCTTGCATTTATTTTGAGTTTCTTCATACTTTACATTATTTAACTGTGAATAGTTGTTGCACGTTTTCAAATAGCTTGTGTTTTCAATTATTAGCCAATTATTGTATGACTGAAAAGACAGATATAATTATGCAAACTGAAAATAATGAAATGTGACTGTTCTAGAAAAAGCCTATACGACTACATGTATATAATTATTTATTAATTTATTTATTTATTTTGAGAAATAAATTAAAATTGAATACAAAAAAACCCATAAAAATATGATATTTCTATAAACTGGTAAATTAATTCTTATAATGAAAAGAATTTAAAAAAATGCATACAACAATTAATATTTTATTATAATTATTATTACTTAAAAGCGTCAAGACATTTTTTTTATAGTGGAACTTTTTAATATCAGGTCATTTTAAAAGTGAAAACTGTACATATGCATGTTCATTTACTTATTATATCTTTGGACTGATATGAAAATATTATGGTGGTAGATTTGTGCCATAGCATTTCTTTGTTTCGCAAGGCAAAAACACAAAAATACAACAAATTAACCAATTTGCCTGGCACCCGGCAAACATTTTAGTATTTTCGCCTGACGGGTTGGCTCTTCCCGAGACCTGGAGATTCAGACCGGTGCACCTCCATTAAAAAATAAGACAGGAGGTTTCTTTTACAAACTATATATAGACACATATTAAAATTAATCAACATATGAATGCAGTATATGATATATTTTTGTGACTTGATATTTTGCTAGACCTTCCTTCCCTTAATTTAAGGACCAGTAATGACATATATAGCTAGGGGGTGTTTTAGTTAAGATTTCTGTTTTGCTGCCCAGTACAATTCCACCATGGACCCTGTCACCACAAGTAATGTACACCAATTTAACCTCAGTACTAGATAGGAACTGACCTGACATATCTCACAAGTTTTAGAAATAAAAATATATTTTAAAAAAAGTTAAAGTATTGCTGTCCAATTTATAATCACATCACTCAGTCAGGCGTAGCCATCCTTAACAATATTTCCATGAAATTATTAGCCAGCTATTGGTATATATCATGGCTTTGATTAAACATAAATAGTTTGTAATTTCCCATGAAACCACCAATTTTAATTTATTTAGAGTCATGAAGAATCTTTATGATGACATCTTAAATGACAAACCAGGTTTAAATGAATAAATATAAAATTCCTTGTCCCGACAACTAAAAAAAAAAAACAGGTTTAAGCCAGTCATAAATATAATATTTCTATCCATATT